TGCCACACAGACACTTGAACCGGCCGGCACGCATCAGGCACCATGCTGATCAGGCAATGCTGGCAGCAGCGATCTCGCTCTCTTGCAGCCAGCCAGGCAGGCACCATTCACACGCGCACGCGCACAAGGGTAACTTCTATTGAGGCGCCTCAAAAACAATCAAACTCGCACAAGGGTACCTTTTGAGAAATCTTTGAGGAAAACCTGCTGCTGCGCTCACAAATCGCGCCATACTCGCTCAGCCTGAAAAGCGTGGCAAGCCAAAGCGTGGCAAGCCAAAGCGTGGCAGGTCAAAGTGTGAGCTGCCATCATCACAACCACCACTATCATCCCTTCCTGCATCGACCCCAGAGCGATGCTGTGCAAAGCGACACGCACTCAGCCTCAGACGCAAGGAATGTTGAAACGCGAGCTGCCATCCACCCCGAGAACGTCCACGGAGCGGTGCTCTGCAAAGCCGTGCCACACTCGCTCACCCCACGCCACACTTACTCACCCTCAGAAGCGTGGAAAGTCAAAGCGCGAGCTGCCGTCACCAGCACCACCATCGCCATCCACCCCGAGAACGTCCACGGAGCGGTGCTCTGCAAAGCCGTGCCACACTCGCTCACCCCACGCCACACTTACTCACCCTCAGAAGCGTGGAAAGTCAAAGCGCGAGCTGCCGTCACCAGCACCACCATCGCCATCCACCCCGAAAACGTCCACGGAGCGGTGCTCTGCAAAGCCGTGCTGGCCCGCGTCTGCGGCGTGGAAGACAGGCCCTCGGAACTCGTGGAAAAGGTTGAGATGGTCCACCAGCTTGTGAAACACCTGACAGCCCTGGCACTGGTGGTGGTGGGAAAGGGTGGGGTGGGGACGTGTGGGTTGGGGGCGGGTGGGGAGAACAAGAAGGGTTGAGAAGCGGGTAAGGGAGGGTACAGTACAGCAGGAGGCTCGTGGAAGAGATTGAGATGGTCCACCAGCTTGTGAAACACCTGACAGCCCTGGCACTGGTGGTGGGAGGAGCGGAGAAGGGGGGATGGAAAAGTGGGGGCACGGGAGGGGGTTGAAGGAGGAAGGGGGGAAGCAAAGCAGCAGCAGGCTCATGGAAAAGGGCTCTTGTGGACACCTTGTGGACACCTGATGGCCTTGGGCACTGGTGAGGGTGGAGGGAGAGGGATGAATCAAGGGAGATGCGAACGGACGCGAGGAGCTGAGCAGCAAAAGGCTCGTACGAGAGGGTACCTGTACCCGTACCCGTTACGGTAATATGAATGGACGCTCATATTCGTCCAGCAACAAGCGTACCTGACTTTTGAGGCGCCTCAAAAGTCGGCTCATATTCGTCCAGCAACGAGCGTACCTGTACGAAGACGGTTCCTTCTCGGTACGCGTGCGGGTTAATGGCGCGCCTGGTGCGGCTGCCGCACTTGTTGCACGTGAAGTCGACGCGCGCGGTGCGCCGCGGCGACACGGGCGAGATGATGGGCATGCTGAGCGAGTCAACGGGGTCAACGGGCGCGGACGGGCCTTCCAGTCCCGTCATGGTCTTCCAACCCGTGCCCATCGCGGCGCTGATCACCACGCCTAACGCCTCCTCCTGCAAAAAAAACAAAACAAAACAAAACAAAACAAAACAAAACAAAACAAAAAGCGAGGGTAATTTTAAAAGGGGAAAAAGGGGGGTACAATAAAAGCGGATATTGAGTCGATAAAAAGACACGACTTTTTGGTCTGCAATTTCCAACCTCGCCGTTACGACGCTAGCCCAACGCGTGCACCTTACTAATGTTCTGAAGCGACAGCGACGTGATTACGGAATTTGCTTATAAGACGTCTCAAAGCAAGCCCAACGCGCGCGCGCACCTTGCTAATGCTCTGCAGCGACAGCGAGCGACCGGCGGCGCCAGAGTTGAACGGCACGAGACCCGTGGGCGACGTGCGACTCTCATTGCGAAAACTCTGCGACGCGGGGCTCGGAGTCCCTGCGACGGATGGGTTCCACGACGCGCCGCCCAAGGGGACGAAGGAGAGCGAGTGGGGAGAGAGCAAAGGGCGGGAAAATAGCAAAAGAGACGAGGCAAGTGGTAAGAAACGTGTGACGAGAAAGGATTGTGTTTGTAAGACGCGCGACAACGTGTGCGGATGGCAGGAGCGGAGGACAATGCGGAAGTAACGGCGAAGCAACGGCGGGGGAAAGACGAAGAAGAGAAAGGATGAAGAGAAATTTCGCGCAAAGTCTCCACGCGCATGGGCTCCGCACACTCACAAGTGAAATTGGGCATCGGGCGCTCCCCTGCCGCCGCCGCCACCGCGGATTCCGCCGTTTCCTGCTCTCCGCTCTGCGCGCTGCTTCGGATTCGGAAAACCCGACCCGCCCGTGCGCTGGCCGCCACACTAGTGCGCGGCGTCACTTTCAGGCTAGCGGGCGACGACTGCGAAGCACCTGACGGTCTTACGTGGGAGCACGTGATTGGCTCGGTGACAGGGCGCAAGATGATCGGAAGGCGGGCGGTCAACGATGTGTGAATGGAAACCGCCATTGCGAGCGGAACCGCGGCGCAAAGGAAAGAGGCACCCCTTGACTGTTCCGCGTCGACTCAAAACACACCACGCACGCAGAGCTTGAGGCTGCAAGGGCACGGTGTTACGTGGCGTGTGTGTGGGCAGAGCACAGGTGCTGTATTGCTGGGAAATCAACAATACGGTAAATATTGTGCTAAGGTCGACGGAGAGCTGTTAGGGAAGAGATGGGGTGGGCTGCTTGGCGGGTGGAGCGGGATGGGCATGGGATGGGACACGAGGAGGAGGAGGATGGTCAGGAGGGAGGAACAGAGGTGTATTGCACGTTACGGAGATTTATGGAACGGTGTAGAGACAGCATGTTCGCTCGTTAGTAGCACAATGGTTTGTGTGTTTGAGTATTTTCGCGTAAACTCGAGTGGACTCTAGGAGGTTCGATTCGGTTCGGCTCGGCCGCTCACATTGCCCCACGTACTTCCTTGTTACACAAGGAACCTTATTCGCGAGACGGTGGAGCACTGGGCACCAATGAGAAAGCGGACCTCCGTGGACACGCATCGTATTGACCAATAGAGGTGAATGCTGACATAAGCTGCAGCTGGACATCCAGTCATAGGGTCTGCGAGTCGAGCACTGATGTCAGCTCCTAGTCATCAGATTGTCAGCAAGATTTCAAGGTTGAAGGTCATTTATCCTCCGTACACGAAGTCCCTTTGGAGTTTGCAGGTGACACTGCGTGGTTCATGTGCAATACTTTTCAGTTACAACTGTGGATAAATATACAATCATAGTGCAATTGCATCCTTCAATATATTGCGCTCGACTTTAATGTATCGCAGAACAGTAACATGCCAAACTAATGGGGACAGCTGGGCACTAACTTCGAGTTCAACGAAACAAGGATCTGCGGTGAAAATGGTCTCCACGTGACAACATCTGAGATTGCCATGTCACCTGACCTGGCGGATTCCGAACCACTCGGAGGGCATCGTTTCTGTTGCCCTTCATATAAGACACGTGCCAGTATATCACACGCCACTCCACTTCACCATCTTTATGTGCGCTGGCGCACTGATAACTTCCTCGCATTACCGTCGTTTGTCAAGCGATCGTCATGTTTCAGTTCGGTCATGTTTTAGCACTGTGAAGGGCGAAAAAAATATTGAATGGCAAAAGGCAACAGATACACGATCTTTTGTTTTCCTACGATTGGTTTTCTAACCTCCCCGGGCACACCAAGGACTTTTCAGAGCTCAAACTGAAGTCGTGCGTGCGACGCTGGACGAGCCCAACCTGTGGAAACGTAAACCGAACCGAATCTACGTGGCTACCAATATCGACGGTGATGTGAAGCTGAAATTTCCGGGGGAGATTATACGGGCAGTCACAATTATGCCCGTTTTATCACGTTTACTTACAGGGGAATCACAAACAGTCCCAGTACAGTAGACTGGTATCGCGGGTGATCACAGTGCTATCACGGATGGTCACACCTCACCCCGAAATGCTATCACGTTTGGTCACTCGTTGAAACGACCACTATAAGTTGAAACTACACAAGTCACTGTAGGAATTCAAGGACAATTATCTCGCGCGCGCCGTTTTGTCCGTAGAGTAACGAAATAGTTTCGCGCACCCTCTCGGTAAATCGTTAAAATCATTTGAGATTTCTTGTTACTATTCGATTGTCCACTGTTCGATGGATGCATAATGACCCTAAAATATCACTTTAGATGGGTGAAACTCGAAGGGATTTTTTGTTCCCAAGACTAAAAAACTACTAAAACCCATTCGGATGGGATTAATTCGGGATGCATCAACCCTAAACACCTTGTCGCATGGTGTTTAGGGTTGATGCCTCCCAATGGACGTGCCATCCTTCAGGGGTTTATTTTTTCTTCAGTCCCCTAAATGTCGGGCTAGAATTTTGCGCGAGGTAACAAGCAATGAAGGTTGGGATTCCCCAGAATTTCTACAGTTTCTTTTGTGGTTTCAAATTAATTATCCTCGTTTCATCGAGTGACCAAACGTGATAGCTTTCTAGGGCGAGGTGTGACCATCCGTGATAGCACTGTGATCACCCGCGATAGCATTCTACTAGACTGTGACTGTTCGTGATTCCCCTGTGACCAGTCGTGATAAAACGGGCATAATTGTGACTGCCCGTATAATCTCCCAATTTTAGCCCCCCCGAATCGCACGCATATGCCAGGCCAGGATTTGACTTCTTGAAACTCGGAACTGAATATGAAACTGTGTGTTGTGAATCTCTGCTTCCCTAATCCATACATATCTCCCACGACATAGTACATTCTGTGATATTCATGGTTCCTATTTAGCGACAGCTGCAAGCCACTCAACGCCGTCCCTTCTAGTTCGAACGTCGAAAGTTTCCAGGTTAAGTTAGACATTTGCGCCTGCGCCGTTTTCCCGCACGCGAGGAGTTAGGAGCACCAGTACTTATACAATCAGTTGACAGCTGCCTCGTGTTTCACATGGCGACTTCGTCCTCTATAAGTCGAGCAGTTCTCACTCGAGCCGTGCCAGTAGCAGCGTCTCGAATTTCCTTCTGCCGCGTGCATTCCCATAGCCTCGCTCAATTGGCGGCGCCTGAAAGGGCGGCATCCAAGCGGTCGCGGCAATGGCAGATTCACGCGACGCGAGCCGAGAGCCGGCAGGACTCCGCCTCGTCGCCCGTGTCGCCCTCATCCGCAGAGACAGCTAAAATCGATCTGAAAGTACGTCCGTCCTGGTGCTAATTGCGAGTTGCGAGGTGCGAGTTGCGGTCCTGTGGTGCACGTGTGCTTTATGCTCTTCTTATGCTTCCTCGACGGTTTACCCTTACACCCTAATGTTTCCAATCAACATGCTCGGCACACCGGATAACACATTGCACCGCGCGCCATGCACCATGCGCCATGTGCCATGCGCAATGCACCGCGGGGAAATTAACGAGCGTTAAATGCGCGCACGCGGCGTACAAAAGCCAGCGCGCAGCAGACCCAGCTCTTGATGAACTCCATCCGCCGCCCCACATCTCTGCCTTACAACCCCCGCTCTGCCCATCAGTTTCTCGCATTGCCCTTTCTCGCTCATCCTCGCTCTGCCGCGCCCTCTCCCTTCTCCCGTTCCCTCTCTCCTCTCGGTGACCCCTCGATCCGCTTTCGCCACCGCAGGATGCGGCGCCGGGAGCGGCGGCAGCGCCGACAGGATCGTGGGGCGGGTTCGGCTTCACGAAGCAGAACGAGTTGTTCGTGGGCCGCGTTGCGATGCTTGGATTCGCGGTGAGTAGCAAGGACGGAATTCTGTTGTGATCTCGGCAAGTGGCAAAGACGGGATTCTGTTTTTGGTACAGCTCAAGAGCAGACGGTGGGAATTCCGGTGAGAAATGACAGCAAGGATTTGCCGTGATTGACGACTGACGCGCCTAAGTAAGAAACATAATCTGGAATTTGGCGTGAGTAGTGGTGCTGGCTCCGCTCTTCACAATCCCTCCTCGTAAGCTCTTGACTGCTCCTCTCCCCTTCCCCTTCCCTTCCCCCTCCCTCGCTTTTCTAACCCCTTCCACCCAACCTGTTACCACATGCTTCTCAATGCAACCCGTTACAATCTATCTCTGCCCTCAACCATCCTCGATAGCAGCCTCACTTGCCCCCTCCCGCCACCCCCATGCCGCTCCCTCCACTCTCTCCTTCCACTCTCTCCCCTCCTCCCCCACCCACCACCCACCAGGCGTCTCTTCTGGGGGAGGCGGTAACCGGGCAGGGCATTCTGGCACAGCTGAATCTCGAGACGGGGATCCCAGTGTATGAAGCCGAGCCGCTGCTGCTCTTCTTTGTCCTATTCAACATGCTCGGCGCGGTCGGCGCGCTGGGGGACCGCGGGAAGTTTGTCCTGGAGCCGGTGAAGCCGCCCGTGCCGCCCGCTAATGCCGGCTGGAAGGGCGCCCTGGGATTGGTGGAGAATGGTGGGTGGTCAGGGAGGGTGTAGTGGGGTGGGGGGAGGGTAGGGGGAGAGGGGGGGAAAGGGCAGGGGGGAATGGGGAGAAGAATGGGGGGAAGAGAGAGAGGCGAGCGGGTGTGGTTGGAAACAGAGTGGAAGGATGGGTGGACTGGCAAGTGCCTTGAATGGATTTAGAGTGCCTGTGTTCGGATTTTTCCCACCCCATTCCCAACCCACTCCCATCCCACTCTCACCCCATTCCCACCCCACTCCTACCAACTCCCCCCCCATCCCCACCGCATCCCAATCCCTTACCCTTCCCACTCCCACCCCATTCTCACCCCATTGTTACCCCATCCCCACCCCAATCCCTCACCTATCCGACCCAACACCCTCTTGCATCCTTACAACCCCCAGTCTACCACTAAGACTCGTCCTCGGTTTCAACACCCTCAGAGTCCAACAAGCTTTCATAGCCCTTGTGCCGAGGGGTTGGGCTGTGGTGCTTCTTTCCCTGACTAACCTCCCATTGTCGCCCCATTGCACCCCCCATCACCACACCCAACCCTTCCGCACCACCAGGTCCCGTCCTCGGGTTCACCAAGTCTAACGAGCTGTTTGTGGGTCGCGTGGCGCAGCTAGGGTTTGCCGCATCCCTAATTGGAGAGGTGATTACAGGGAAAGGCGCGCTGGCACAACTCAATATAGAGACGGGAGTTCCTGTGGCTGAAATCGAGCCTTTGGTGATTCTGGGGATTATGCTGCTGTTCCTATCGGCTATCAACCCGGGTACTGGCAAGTTTATCAATGATGATGATGACAGTGCGGATTCATTTTAGTGTGGTTACCTGGCTGTGCAAGAGGTTATTCCTGTACCAGTAGCTCTTTTCTGATTTGTTCATATGATGTACCGAATGGTTTGCGCTAATAGCAAACATTTATGTTATACTGGGTGATGGTAATGCTATTCTGCTATGTAGATTGACAGCTTCAGTTATCCTTTTCTGCGCATCTACCGGTACTGGTCAACGCGCCATTGAAGATGGCAGTGCAGCCAAGGATGAAGCCAGAAATTCTTAAGATAGGCTAGGAGACAAGTGTCGAGAGTAATGTTTGAGTAAGGAGGGACAAGGAGATACAAATGTCGACCTGAAGTGTTGTACCCTTTAGAGGGCAACTCACAGTAGCCTATCTAAGAATATATAGAATATATAAACATTTGACACACCCCCATAGGCTAAGTGAGGGGCATCAAAACAACCAACGGAAACAAGGGGTCACAAGACCAGTCAAGAACAAGCATAAAAAACAAAGCTCAGGGTGGCGCTCAGAGTCACCACACACTCCGAGCACAAGCAAGTGGCCACAAGGCCAGTTCAAGAGTTTACTAGTATATATAGAAGCACAACAAGTAGAGCAAACAGCAAGTCTACAGCAACCGAGGGCCTACCTCAACAAGCCCCAACTGCACACAGAACCTGTGGTGGTCACCAGGCGCCAAGGCCTTGGTGAAGACGTCGGCAGTGTTGGCCTGTGAGGCCACAAAGTCCAAACGTGCCTGACCGCGTCGCTGCAACTCTCGCAGGAGGAAGTACCTCACGTCAATATGCTTCACTCTGCTCTCCAGTCGAGGCTCTCGACACAGGAGGATCATGGCCTTGTTGTCAGCGTACAAGGTCGGTGCAGAGCGAGGCCGCTCACCAAGGTCGGCGAGCAAGAAGGTCAACCACCGAAGCTCCTGTGCCGCCATGGCACCAGCGTAGATCTCTGCCTCTGCACTGGAAGTAGCCACAGACGACGACCGTGTAGACCTCCACGACACAGCACCAGCTCCCAGACTGAAGCAGTAACCCTGAGTCGAACGCTGAGTCTCCACGTCGTCAGCGTAGGAAGAGTCGCAGTGACCAGTCAACGCCACTGGCTGAGTCCCTCCAAGCACAAGCCCCATGCCTGATGTAGTCGCCAGGTACTTCGCCACCCTCACAGCAGCTGTCCAGTGGACAGGGCGGTGTCTCCCAGTCGCAACAAAGCGAGAAAGGATGCTGAGTGGAAAGGCGAGGTCCGGTCGAGTACAAGTCATCAGGTACATGAGGCAGCCCACCAGCTCTGCGTAGGGTCCACTGGACTCAAAGGGCTCGTCAGGAAAGGGGCCCGTGAGTCTGTGGTCAACAGCAAGAGGAGTGGGCTGTGTGGTGGAGAACTGGAAGTCGAACCGCCGAAGGATCTGCTGCACCATGTGTGACTGCGTCAGTGTGATGGTGCGAGCGGCTCTGTCCCGGGTGATCTGCAGGCCAAGGTAGCGCTGCAGCTCACCCAGGTCAGTGCACTTGTGTCTCTTCTGCAGTTCGGACTTCACCTGAGCCAGGGCTGCCCTGTCTGCTGTAGCAAACACCAAGTCGTCGACATAGACAGGGATAAAGAAAGGAGTAGAACCCGCTCGAACAAACAGCGACGGGTCGGCGGAGGACGGGCTGAACCCAAGGTCACGAAGCGTGGAGCGAAGAGTGTCGTGCCACTCACGGGGCGACTGGCGGAGACCGTAGACTGGTCGCCTCAGGCTCCACTGGGTCCCAGGTGGGAAGGTGTCAGTGAAGCCAGGAGGACGGCGCAGCCAGATCTCCTCGTGTAGTCGGCCCTGGAGGAACGCAGTGGAGAAGTCGAGGGAGTGCAGCTCGTAGTCTCGCTGCGCTGCTATGTGGAGTAACACCCGAAGAGTAGTCATCTTCGGGGTCGGGGCGAAGGTCTGGAAGAAGTCAACTCCCTCACGCTGACTGAAGCCCCTAGCCACGTAGCGCGCCTTGAACACCGGCGGTGCTCCAGGCGGCCGCTTCACCTTGAAGAGCCACATGCCATCGACTACGTTCGCCCTGGGAGGGGGAACTGCGTCGACGTAGGTGCCTGTGGATCTCCAAGACGCCAACTCTGAGTCCATAGCCGCTTTCCACTTAGAGGCCCACGCCCCTGACACTGCCTCGCGGTAAGTGCGAGGAGTCGGTATGTCAAGGGCGTCGGGGTCTCCCTCAGGGGAGAGCAGCATGGCACACACAGAGGGAGAAGCGGCTGCCCAGTACTCCAGCTCAGACTCTCTGTCCTCTAGGACGTCACAGCCAAGGGCAAACCCACCCCCGACGGACAGAGGACGGTAGGGAGGAGCTGGCACCACACGGGTGGCGTAGTCAAGGTGGCTGGCGGCACCAAACTCAGCGACAGCGGCAGTAAGAGCCGAGGCAGACGACGGAGGGAAACGAGAGTCGGTGACAAGAGTGGCGAGGACACGTGCGGCAACAGGACGAACAACGCGGTAGTAGTCAGAGATAGGAGTGGGGAGGGCTGGTAGGGAGGACGGAGGAGGAGACGGGAGAACGGACACAGGAGAAGGAGAACGACGACGAGACGAACAAAGGAGGGCAGTGTGGAGGTCAGTAACAGGGGACGAGTGACGAGCACGCGGAGGACAACGAGTGATCAGGTCGCGACGGACAGAGGGAGGAGGAGAAGACCAGACCGCCGGACGGTCGTCAGGAGGAGGCAACGGAGGAACAAACACAGGAGGAGACTGGGAGCGGACAGGAGGAGAGGAGGAAAGGCCAAGGGCCCGCAGGCCACTCACAGGTGGGAACAACCGCCGCTCCAGAGGAAGCTGCGGTGGCGGCTGCGGCCGCTGCTGCTGCGGCTGCGGCTGCTGCGGCTGCTGCTGCTGCTGCTGCTGCTGCTGCTGCTGCTGCTGCTGCTGCCGCTGCTGCTCCAGAAGGTCCAGCACCCGCAGCTCCTGCCGCTCCCTCTCCAACCGCTCCTGCTCCTCACGCTCACGCCGACGGGCAGCCTGGAGACGCGTGTCGTGGCGGTGGGGAGGCGGAGTGGACTCCGCAGAACCAGGGTCTCCAGCGTCAGTCCCCTCAGACTCAGCACCCCCAGAACCAGCACCGCCAGTGCCAGGACCTCCAACTCCAGCACCCCCAGAACTAGCACCGCCAGTGCCAGCACCCCCAACTCCAGCACCCCCAGAACCAGCACCTCCAGTGCCGGCACCTCCTGCTCCAGCACCCCCAGAGCTAGCGCCACCTGCGCCAGCACCTCCAGCTCCAGCACCCCCAGAGCTAGCGTCACGTGCGCCAGCACCTCCAACTCCAGTACCCCGCGACCGAGCACCCCCAGACCGAGCACCGCCAGCGGCTGCACCTCCAGCTCCAACACCAACCGAGTCCAAAGTAACCTGTCGCGGAAGTGCCGAAGGCTGCTGAGGGGACTGTGAGGAGGACTGCGGGGAGGGAGACGCTACCTGACGCGCGACCGAGGGTAGAGGGGTAGCGTGGGACACACCAGACGGGGCAGGACCTGGGGGGGGCGGGGGTACCGGAGGAGCGGGAGCAGGAGGAGGAGAGGGTGCGAGGAAGAGAGGGGGAGGGGGTACCGGGAGACCTCGACAGGGGTACCGGGTGTAGTAGGACACGGACTCGTCAAACCGGACGTCACGGGAGTCTAGGAACTGGTGGAGGGGAGGGTGGTAAAAGGACCAGTCAGCAGAGTCCACTGGGAAACCAAGGAAGACACATGGGACGGCGCGTGCCGAGAGCTTGTCCGCGGAGGTGTCGCGAACAAGTGCAAGGCAGCCCCAGACTCGAAAGGCCGACCCAACACCAGGGGATCCAGTCCAAAGACTGGTCGGTGAAGCCTCGGGCCGCGAGACACGCGGCTGGAGGTTCAGCTGGTGTGCGGCGTAGCGAACCGCGTGGGGCCACAGAAAATGGGGCGCACGGGCATGAATCATGGACGTGCGGGCGATGTCCATGACCAAGCCTATGCGGCGCTCAGCAACCCCATTCTGCTGTGGGGACTCTGGCAGCGTCCAGGACTGGGTGATGCCCTGTTCGCCGCAGAATCCGCCGAGAATGCCGGAGCGAAACTCGCCCCCACGGTCGGAGTGAAGACAACTGACTCGACGACCACGAGTGCCCTCAGTGGCTAGAAGCCACCTGATCAGCGTAGCAGTCACCTCGGACTTCTTCGCAAGAGGGAACACTGTGGTGTACCTGGAGAAGTCGTCGACG